TTTAATAATTTTTTGAAGTAAATTTCCCAATAACTTTTTAAACTAGGCAAATTAATCAAATTTTTATAACTATTTCCTTTTTTTATTTAAATAAAATATTCTTCTTTATGTTTTTCGCGTTTTGAAAACGCGAATCTTTATTTAATTAATTTTTTCTACCATTAATCAATTATGATTAAGTTAAATTAATTACGATTTATTATTTTTAGGGTTTATGAAACGCGAAAATTGGTTTTTAGCGTTTTCAAAATGCGAAATTATTTTTTTAGCGTTTTCAAAACGCGATTTTGCTTATTTTCGCGTGTTCGAAGCGCGAAAGAATTATTTTTGTCCAGAATTAAAACCCTAGATCTATTTTGTTCTTCATAATTTTTTTAGGATATATATAAGTAAATTTTCCTCACTCTAAGCTGTTCTAGAGCCTTTTCCTTATCGCGTGCATATTTCGGATACAAAGTAAATTAAGGATATGATTAGCTAAATGGGCTTCTCGTACTTCATTCTCCCCCAAGTTATATATCCTCCGCACCGGCAATCTTCTTGTCAAGCTTTTTGAGCTCCTCCTCGATATTGGCACGCATTGAATCTGGTACACTTTTCTGATCCAACTTCAACACCCCATCAAGAACTAGGGTTTTGACATGAAACCACAGTATTGTAAAATTCATCACAAAGGTGGACCTCATCAGGGTACATCTTTCTGATTATTAGCAGTTAGGTCATTTAGATGATATATGTTAGTTTACCATTTATCACATGTGTGGTAATTGGTCTACACACACACGTAATCAAGAAAAAACAAAAGTGAAAAATAACAAAAGTCCAGCCTCCTCACAAACTCTTCTTTATGATCTTTTTTCAAGAAAATTTAGGTTTTCTATTGGTATAGGTTCGATCCTGCTTCCTTTTTCTTCCTGCTTCCCTTTCAATTTTCCTTTCTTTTTTTTTTCTTTTTCTGTTTGCTCAGGGTTTCTTCATATCTATGTCTTTCAACTATAGTTTGCAAACTCGCAATCTTAGATCACGATCCTACGATCCCAGGTACCTAAATCGATTCTGGATTGATCAAACTCGAATTTTACAGTAGGAACAGAGTGGGATCGGTCAGGATCGTAGGATCGGTCTGAGTTTACTATTCATCAATTGCAAAAAGTTAATTGAGTTTATTGAGATTTTTCTCCTCTTATTTCTTTTAGTTCACATTCAATTGAGGCTTATATTCTTTGTAAAAAATTTTATTGCTAAAAAACTGTATTTTAGAAAATTTTTCTAATAATGTGAAAACAAGAACTATAAGAGAAGAGTTTTTATTAAAAAATTATGAAAAAATTCAAATAAGAAAAATGAATTTACACATTTCTTTTTGTTTAAATTTTAATTACTTTATGTAAAGATAATTAAAACCTAATTATCAAAGTAATTAACTATATAACATATATAGTTAATTTTACGATCCTATAATTCCAATCCTACCGATCCCATTTATAATTCGATTCTTTGACCTCGTTTTGATCCTAGGTAGGATTACGATTCTGCAAACATTGCTCTCAACGTAAGCGATTTTGTCAAATTAAAAATTAATTCAAACTAATTACTAACTTTAGAATCACGATCCTGCAAACATTGCTATTAACGTAAGAAACTTTGTCAAATTAAAACTAATCCAAACTAATTACAACCTTGGGAAGAACAAGTACTGGCACTCGCTGAAAGTCAAGAGGTCATCAATCACCTCACCACTTCCCCACAACTCCATCCCCAAAAATCTAGTTCTGATACAGACAAAATTTCGTTTGAGTCCACTTAAAAATTGGCATCATGTCTTCTTTACGATCTTTTTTTTTTCAAGAAAAATTAGGTTTTCCTCTGCTTGATTTCCCATTTTCTTATTTCAGAGAGGTATTTTGAAGCGGTAATATTTCAGAGAGGTAAGCAAACGAAGAAACGTAGCTTACAAAAAGAAATAAATAAATTAAAAAACCCCAAAACCTGAAACTAACTTTTTTACTTTAATTAGAGGAAAACCAGCTTTTGAACCTCGGGATTCTATATAGTGACAAAACACCAGCTTGCGTTACATGAAATTAGCCCAGTTCTCCAAAAGCGGCAACATTAGCTCTGGTTAATTTGGAAGAAAGGGCATGCGAATTGTGGTTTCATCATTCTCACATATAGTTTATGAAGTCGTGGATTTCAATGTTTGGATTGCGTTTCCCTTTCTTTCTAAGCTCCCCACGCACCCCCGCCCCCCAATTTTCCCCAAAGTGAAAGAAAATAATTTACATTTGCGAGAGAAAATATATTTTTGTCCGCCAACTGTTCTTGCATTGAAAAGTAAACTATAAAAAACAGTTCAAACACCCCCAAAAAAAAAAAAGTATGGGTGCTCCATTAATTTTTTATGAATGCCAAAATATAGGAGTAGTTTTTACCTTTTCAGTTGAGATTAAAGCTATCTCACATGGTTTAAGACGGTGTGCCAGTTGAAACTTAAGTGGAGTAATTGTACAAATAGGTGTATCCTTGGAAGTATCGCAACACTCTTAATCGAAATTATAAATATCCTGGCCAGCTCATAGAATCAAACACATCTTAAGAGAGGTCGATGCTGTAGCAAATTTCTTGAGTAAAACGATTGCTTCTAATGGCGAGTCACTAGATATTTCCATCCATACACTAGATAATATGATCTTCAATTAGTTACATTTGTGTATCATCCTCGTATTATTCTTTTAAAGGAATCTGGATGGCATATCTAGCTAAATGAAATTGATAATTGCGCTAGGTTAATGTAGAAAAAAGGAGCCCTCATAATAAAAAAGTGTTAATCAAATAAATTTTTACTCTCGTGGTCTTGCTAGCCGTTAAACCAGTTGACTCGAATCATTTTGATTCGTTTTCAATTCTAAATAATTCCAGTAGCTATAATTATAAATCCCAATTCATTTAATTGATTTCTAAATGTACTATTGGCATTACCTCATGCCCCGCTCTTTTAATTTAGGGAAGAACTGACGGAATCTATCCAAAAGATTAACAATTTTTTTTTTTTAAAGTCACATTATTTGTGGCACATTATTACCCTTCGTCAATAATCGAATCCCATTGATGTACTCAATATTTGTTGCTTGATTCTTCTTCTTCTACTACTTCTTATTTTCTTTTGTTGTGCAACACATGATATAAAATCTTGTCTTATGATTTTGTAAGAAATCCGATCTTATCTTTCCCTTTGAAGGTATGTAAAAATTTCTTATATTTTTTGTCACTTGTTATATTTGAGTTCTCCATCAGAAAGAAAAAGAGAGAAAGAAACAGAAAAAATCAATCAGGGAAAGAATAGTTCGGCAAACGTCAATATTATCCTCTTAGCAGAGGCGGATTTAACAATGGAGCACTGGAGGCACGTCCCTCCACTGAATTTCATGAATGGTAAATATAGCATATAGTATGAGTCGCACTAAAAATAAAAATTAATTAATTATAAATAAACTAATTACATTTAAACTTTTCTATAAATTCGGAACTGAATTTCTTTGGCATATGACAGTTCCTTTTCTTCTGAGATATGTTCTTTTTGTGAGTGAATTTAGTTCTTGTTTTGAATGTTCATATAGAATGATTATGAAGCAAGTGAAGGGTCTGAAGCGAACGAGAGTAAACAAGCTTGTCATGATCAGTAAGCTATGTAGGTGAAGGGGATCCGGAGAGGTTCTGATTCTACATTTCAAGTATCCCTGAAAGCAAAATCTTTTCTCTTGAAATAAATGTTGCTACAAGGTCTCGTCTTTCTGATCTCAAAAAGCATTTTTATAATCATATTCATCATTGTGCTTTCTAAAATTTATTTTTTATTTACTGCAATTAGTCCATCGAAACAAGTCTTATACATATGCCTACTTGTATTCAGAATTGTTCTTAGCTAAAATGGAAGTAGAAAGGGCAGAGGGCTGTTGAGGATACATATAGTTGTATTTTGCGATATTCATTTGCAGAATTGTGATGCTACCAATTTGGTAATGATAACTCTTATTCAGTTTATAATGCAAAACAATTCCAGTTCCCCCACCTTTTTAACTATTTTTCTTCGCTGTCCTATTTTTGAATTATAATAATAATTTATTTCATCCTAAAATAATTATTGTAGTCACTTGTGATCTAAAGACACAAAACTAGTGGAAAGAAACTCCGAGGATCACGTCACTGAAAGCAATTGGTTTAAACTTTAAAGTAGTTTTTATTTATGAAAGAAAATATAGTAAGGTCTGTGCACATTGGAGGGTTCTAGTGAATTAGTGAGAAGTTGATTAATTTAATGGAAAGAGATGAATAAATTAAGAAAAGATTGCCCATTGATTTACGGATAGCCTATCTTCGAGTTAGTGGAAAACACTAACGCTTCCTTCGCAATTCGCCATTATAATTAGCAAGTATGTATGTATATTTTAGAATTTTAGATATAATTACTTTATTCTTTTCTTTTCTTTTTTTTTTTTTGTTTTTGTTTTTAATATTATGCTAAGGAGCCGAACACAAAGGTAATTATCACCACGAATCGATTTAGAGAAGAAACATTTTTTTTCCACTTCCTATTGCTAAAAGGATTTTTTTTTTTTTTTTTAAATTTTTTTTCCTTCCTATTGCTAAAAGGAATTGGAATTGGAAGGAAGGAAGCAGTAAAGAAGCGAGGCAATTGGAATATGGAAAACGTAGCTGAAGTAACTGAAAGAACGACGTTGACGACACGGAAAAGGACTTTGGCAGAATGTATTCAGTTCAGTATTAGGATCAAATGTAATTGGTTTCGAAATTCTTTCTCGGATGTATAGTAGATTAAGTAGTCTAGTCCTTGTCCATTGAGCTTTCAAATTGGTGGCACATGTCGGGACTATATATATCTACCTATTCTTCCTTTTGAGCCTATATTAATTCCATCTATTTATCCTTTTGAGACTATATTAATATTAATTTTCCAGGAAAACTCAGCAACTTTCAGCCCCATGGATTCCGATATAACATATCCATATGTTGATCAACTCCTGCTCACGGATAATATGCATGATCACAGCCAGCCTCCATTGAAGAAGCATAAGAAACTTTCTTCATCATCAGCTGCCCATAATAATGTGATCATTCCAGACGACATCATCTCAAACATCCTAAAGCGACTCCCGGTCAAATCCTTATTGAGGTTCAAATGTGTATCCAGGGATTGGTGGCATATGATAAAAACTCCTTGGTTCATTGACATGCACCGTCTCCACTCACATCACCGACCGGATGGGGTCAAGGTTCTGGCAACCACGGTTCAGAACACAACGAGGAGGCAAAAAATTATCCGCCGCGACCAATATTTCTTATTGGTTGATCCAGAAGGAAATTCGATGCCCGTTCCGCATCCAATGGTTGGCTCTGTCTGGGTACGACCACCTAATGATCGTGATAGTCAGGCAGGTGTGGAAGGCCTAATATGTTTTAAAGACATGGTATGGAATCCTACTACAAGAAAAACGTTTCATCTTCCCGCACAATATTTTAATGTGCCCCTAAATCGTGGAGGTGGTCTAAATAGATATAAATTTGAGAATTCTGACTACTTAGGATTTGATTCATCTACTAAACAATACAAAGTATTAAGCATCTGTGCTGGCTGCCGGGCGAAATCAAGGCTTAGGAAGAAATACACTAGTCACAGCAAAAGAATTGAGTTTCTTCGAGGGATGTTCCAAATGCAAGTTATCACTTTAGAAGGAGCTAAATCGTCATGGAGAGACATCACTCACCATATTCCGGGAGAGGCGATCAAGGACATGACTCTCATGTGGTCTCCCATTAGCCCTAATCTCTACCTCAAGGATGAGATTTACATTTTGGTGGGATATCCGGAATATTTGGCTCTCATGGTTTTTTCGGTCGGCCAAGAGACATTTAGATTTATACATCTCCCAAAAGAAATAAAGCATGCAGAAGCAAGGTGGTGGGTTATGATTGAGGTTAGCGAATGTGTTGGTTTGATGATGGTGGATGCAGATACAGCTGGCATAGAGATTTGGAGGTTGATCAACACGGTTAATACCAGTAGCATTCATCATAATAAAGCTGCTGCTGTTGCTCGAGAAGAGTGGCAGAAAATAACTTATACAGCTTGGCCCACAAATCTCTATCATCCAAAAATCTCTAACCCTGAATCCCTACGAGAACCGTTTGTGCGTTGCGCTATCGGTAACACTGAGAATCTCGTTCAAACAGTGAACGAGGGGAACACCGAGTACTATTTCTCCTACTGGGACATTAGACAACGAGTTGTGAAGGAAGCCCCAACAAAGCTACAGGAGATTCTTCAGCGTTATTACATCTTTTCTAAACATGTCGAAACTTTGTTTGATCCCGAGTTCCCATAAGTTGCGGAAAAATAAAGTGTGAATGAGTTCTTGCAACTGTTCTAGGCTTCAAATTATAGAAACCGGCGGGAATCAAAGAGGTGGTGATTAGTTGTAGCGAAAGGAGTCACAACTTGCAATTCCTATGTTTGTCCCATAGGATGTGTTCCATAAGCTTCTTTATATGACGCTTTAATAGTGTCTCACAGTATGGTTATATATTTTCAACAAAGTTTGGTGTTTTATATTAACTATTGGGGACTAACTTAGACGCAAGTATGATGATCTACATACTTTCACTTTTTTTTTACCTACAGAAAATAGCATACACATTCACTACTTTAATTGGTGATTCCATTTCTTTACATCCAATATTACATTTTGATTATACAGTATTTCAAGTAAATTATATCTTAAAAAACAAGAGTTCTCTAATCAAGTAATTCAAATAACGGTAAAAGAGTTCCCTGACCCAAGTATTACTCCCGTACGTCCTAACCTAAATGCCAATTCCAGTGTTCTCCATCATATGAATGCCTCACGCGAAATTCAAATGCAAGGACACATATAATTTTTCACAGTTAGTTCAGTCTTCTATATATATTTATAAAAATTAAGAAGCTAATGTACCAAAACTAGATTTACCGGCCGCCTTATCGTCTTGAAGAAATTCTGGATTGGCCAAAGATATATCATGATGTATCCTGACCGTTAAACGAAAGGATTCAATTAATTTGAAGGACAGCTTGTACAGAATTTGAGAAGCTGAAGGAAATTTTGGACCTACTAAGCAGAAATCCCATCAAACTGATAAGAAAGAAAGAATGATAAAAAAGACGTGATAAGTTAATGAAATGGGATTCGCAAGCAATGCTCCCTTCAACTATTATTGAGGTACGGGTGTTTTACTATGTTACTTAATATTTTGATATATTATAAACCAAAAAGAAATAAATCATGCATATTGAGAGAATGAAAATGCAAAATTGAATGGAGGGAGGCATGCATGGTAGTACTACAACTCGCTTTATTCGTTGATTTAACATTTTATGAATGTTTTCAATTTAGATTTTAATTTGAAAAATTTGATGATTTCATAGGAACATTGCTGAACATATTTTTTTTCTTCTTCTTTTTTTTTCCTTTGCAATAAGTGTAATCTACATTTTGTCCAAAAAAAGGCTAATTATTGATTATAAAGTTTTCGCATTTTATTAAAAAAAATCAGATATTATTTTAGTGGTTATTTAAAATGTATCATAAAGTATTATCACAATGAATAATTATTATTTCATTTGTTAATGGTTTCGAAAAAGTATTATTTAATAACCACTACAACAAAGATTGCTTAACAATACATTTTAAATTGTAACGATGACATAGATTTTGTGACATTCTACACTATTACTACATTACTTTTAAGTGTACGTAAGTAGGGGTAGCAATAGCTATATTATATATAAAGACCATTCTAAATGTCACAATAATTATCTGAAACGTCACTAGAAGATCCGTAACACAACTATTTAAATTGTGGTTAAACTATTGTAACATGACATTGACAATTGTGATTCTCATTGAAGAATGATGCTCTCGACGTATCAATTTATGAAATTGTCATGATACATTAGATATTAAGACATTTATAAGTCTTTCTACAAATAAGTTAAGGCTGCAACTTTCCATGTCAAGCGAATGAGGAGTTAGTTTAGTGGTAAATTACGCTTACTCCAAGAGGAGATCATGAGTTCAATCCTCCACTCCAATAAACGTGAGGGATTGGCTCTCACCTTACCTATTGACACCTCTAGTGGTTTGTTATATCTAACCCACTAATGAATTCTCGATTTCGCACCTGAGTTTGTTACCCTAAACTTGCCTACGGTGGTTTATCTTTCACTGTAGTTTACAGCTTATTGCAGTGAGCGTGAATTCACCCATTTCTGGTGGGGTTTCCTATGTTGCCAAAAAAAAAAAAAAAAGAAATTCCATGTCCAGAAATGAATATATTTTAGACACATTAAATCCTCAAAAAAAGTTACCAGTTTAGACAAATTTTGATGTCATATAAATAAATTTTTATGACATTTTCAATTGTGAGAATGTGTTAGTATTTCTACATATTAATACGACATAATAAATTGTGTCAATATAAGATTTATTTCATTATTAAATTTCTCAAAAAAATAGCATGGCAATTTTTTTACTTAAATATAATTTGGTAAATTTTGTATTCCATGCCATTTTTTCTAGAAAAAAAAGCCAATGATAAATCTAGGGCATTTTTTATGAGTCTAAGATAAAATCTAGGCCTATTGGGTCGATGATTAGGTTACTTGGAGATTAAGCCACCGCCTAAACCTATTCCACTAGGGTTTTAGGAATCAGGTAACACCACCTCTATATAAAGAGGTGGTGCATCTCCCATAATACAGATGTTTTACCTATCTCCTACCTGTCTTCTACACCTTCTACACACGATACACATCCTTCTCTCTCTACTCTCTCTATTCCTTTATTGACTTAAGCATCGAAGAGTCTACCCTCGAGAGACACCCGAGGCTCTGTCTTACAGATTTTAGACCGTACGCCGCCGCCTAGGTCATCATCGCCGCCCGTCCTAAGACACCGTACAGATCCATGCTTCGTCAGCACGCCCAGTGGAACCAATTTGTTTGGTCTTTACAACCAAATAAATTTCTTAAAACGAAGTTGAGATTTATTGGAGCTACATGGTAATCGCGATGGTGGTTGGATTAGCAACTTGCTTGTCCTATTGCAACAAAGAATCATGGTTGCCATTGAAAAGCAAAGGCTAGCCGAGAGAGACAATGCCAATTCAACCGAGAAGTCACAGCAGCAAGCAAGCAGCTCACGATGGTCAAAAGTAGCCAACTGCTCGAGAATAAATCTATCCGTCCCTAGAGTTCAAATGTCGCCGAAAGGGGCAAAAAATCAGCCGAGGATAATTCCTCATCAAGAATTGTCACTTAATCCCTAAAAATTTTGATTATTATAATTTAATCCTAAATATCTTTTATAATTTTACAGATAAGCTCTAGGGTCCTTCGAAGCAAGGGGCAACTTCGAAGATTGAAGTTTCGAGAGCTACATCTCCTCGAAAGGGTAAGCATCCCTTGAGCACCATATTACTACACAAAGTATTCGAGAAGATACATTTCCTCAAGGGGCAAGCATCCCTCGAGCACCTTACTACTACTCGAAGTGTTCGAGAAGACGTATCTCGACTTTCATCTACTCAACTACTACCTTCTCGAAATTGAGGTAACACCTTCTCGAGTAATCAATTTATCTCAAGACTGAGGTATTTCTCAAACCTTTTCATTATATGCTTCTCGAATCTAAATTCATATACTACTAATATTATTACTCTCCTCACAGACATATAATTATTGCCTTTTTGAGTGAAATTGCATATCAACGAAAGTCTTGCTAGTCGGGCACCGAGTTTAAATAAGATCTGCTAGTCGGACACGACCCACAAAGACCTGCTAGTCGGGCAATGGCCAAATAAAACCTACTAGATGGGCACAGCCACAAGACCTGCATGGCAGGCAACTATAGGCTTCTCACCTTTAAATAAGAGAATCTAGGTGTCATCCTCCTAATTCGGCATACACATGCTTTTCCCTTTTAATCAGGAACTTACTAATACAAAGACCTCCTCGATGCACTTTATTCTCTTTATCTTGTATATGTGACACCCGAGAATGAAAGAGTTTCAGAGCTGGGGCAATACCATGAAACTTGAAAAGACATCAACACTTGTATCAACCTATATTCTTCTCATCAAGTCTCGAAAATGTGGCTTGCTAGGGGCACTTGACGAGTTCAAAATAAACCTTAGGCCTATTGGGCCTAGAATTAGGTTACTTGAAGATTAAGCCACCGCCTAAACCTGTTCCGTTAGGGTTTCAGGAAACAGGTAACACTACTATATAAAGAGGTGGTGTCTCTCCCATAATACAAATGTTCTACCTGTCTTCTACCTATCTTCTACACCTTCTACACACGATATACATCCTTCTCTCTCTACTCTCTCTATTCATTTATTGACTTAAGTATCAGAGAGTCTACTCTCGGGAGACACCCGAGGCTCTGTCTTGCAGGTTTTAGGCCGTCTGCCGTTGCCTAGATCATCATCGCCACCCATCCTAAGACACCGTGTAGATTCATGCTTCGTCAATTTTTTCTTATATCCAAGGGTAACTTTTGTAAATTCCAACCTCACCCTTAAGTAATGATTATTCCAATTTTTCTTTCCATATAAGCGAAAATCTAGCCGCGCCAAACTTTGCACTTCCCTCGCTGGAACCCTTACTTCCCAACATATTCTCCCTCCAGCCGTTCTATATTCTTGCTCCAACAATGAACCAAAAACTCCATAGAAAAGTGATGGTCTCCTTTTCTACTTCCGGAATCCAATTAAAAATTTGGGCACCATGGTATTACTATCGTTGTCGTTGATGCAGTTCGTCAATTTCTTTCATTTTATTTAGCTCTTTGCTTCAATGATAATGTTCAATTATCATTACATGATGTTGTTAATTTAAGAGGATGGATCTGTACTTTTTTTACTTCTGAAAATTGTTCGTTTCTTTTATAGTTAACACATATTTGGTGATGGCGTGTATTTGTATCCATGTAAAAGTTTGCATTAGATATTTATTAATTTTGATGCATGCAGCTATAATTTGATGTGGGCATTGCATCCCACTTTCTCACAAGTTTGATTTTCCCCTCGTGGAATTGCGACAAGTTGACATTGATCCAGATAAAATTAAATTAATTCACATACAACAGAATGCTAGAAAAGTGTGATGAAATATTCAGCAACGACGTCGTCACAGCATCAGTCAACCAAGCAAGATTCCGTCGTCCCCAAGAATCATGCGCCGGCATACCGTGCACGTCTGAGTTCAGCGCTGCACCAGATTAAACCACCGTAGCTTCCAGAAGAACTTGAAGACGTATCCTCCAGGCCAAAGCAGTTGCCAGGA